AAAAAAAAAGAATGGGTGGTCTACGGCCATACCACCCTGAATGTGCCCGATCTCGTCTGAAGAATGGGGGTACCTGAGGCCTAGTCCCCCTGAGAACTTCCTCCTGGACTCTAATTGCCCTGCCACCAAGCACACATCATTGACACTGTCCAGTTTTTATCATTGCCATTTACCCTGAGTCCTTTTTGTAGCCCCTACCTACCGCTCTAGCCCACCAGCCAATCCCTGCTTCCAAACCACCCTGCAAACTTCCCCTAGCTGCTTTCAGCCCTTGAACCTCTCCCCCAGGAAGGAGGAGCCCCTTGTCCATGAATACCCACATAGCACTTTAAGAAGCTTCATGGTTTTTTGGTTTTGTTTTGCTTTTTCATTTTAATGGAATTTCTAGATTTGATTTGATACCAACCATTCCCCATCAGAAATTCCTGCTGTGGGGGCTGGGAAGATGGCTCAGTGGTAGAGCGCTTGCCTTGCATGCCTGAGGCCCTGGGTTCGATTCCTCAGCACCACATAAGCAAAATGAAAAAAGCTGGAAGTGGCGCTGTGGCTCAAGTGGTTGAGTGATGGCCTTGAGCTGAAGAGCTAAGGGACAGCGCCCAGGCCCAGAGTTCAGGCCCCACAACCGGACCCAAAAAAAAAAAAAGAAATTCCTGCTGCAAACTCTCACCCCATTCTTCTATCCTTAAAACCCCCAATACAGCCAGGTGTCTGTGGCTCATGCCTATAATCCTAACTACTCAAGAATCTGAGATCTGAGGATCATTATTCAAAGCCAACCCCCAGGGGGAAAGTCCAGGAAACTCTTCTCTCTAATTAACCACCATAAAGCCAGAAGTACAGGTATGGCTCAAGTTGCCAGCCTTGAATGAAAAAAACTAAGGGACAGTGTCTAGTACCAACACACACACACACACACACACACACACACACACACACACACACACACACACACACACACACACACACCATTTGTATTCCTCAGTTGCTTTTGTTTGAAAGGATGGCAAAGTCTACAACACTTTTGTAGGCAGCTCAGGCCCCAGGTATCTTTTTCCATGTGGTGGAAGGGCAGCATTACATTCATGTGGCCCAAACCTCTCAGTTCCACTCTTCTTGCCTGTGCTAGACTTTTGTGTCATAACCCCCCAAAACCTAGGGCATCATCTTTGTCCTCTCAGAATTTAAACATAATTGAGATAAGCAAGGAATGTACATGTACCTGAGAACTAAAGGGAGAAAAATGGAAGTCTGTGTAAGATTAGCCTCTTCAAAGTGAATTGTAGAACCTAAGTGATGTACTCCCCCATAGGCTGGGACTAGGGAAGGACAGACACAGCTGGATTATATGTATGGCTTGAGGTCCTTCTTGCTATTCTCTATTCTGCTTCCCATTATACCTTTTCCCACAGTACCTGCTTAGTTCAAAGATACATGTTACTATTCTCCCTCCTCTTGTTTTTTTTTTTTTTTTTTTTTTCCCTCCTCCTCTTGTTCTGTGGTTTTGCTTTGATGGTTTTGTGTGTGAGTGTGTGTTTGTGTGTGTACCAGTATTGGGGCTTGAACTCAGGGCTTCATTCTCTCACTTAGCTTTTTCTGCTCAAGGCTAATGCTCTATCACTTAAGCCACAACCTCTCCTTGCAACTTTATGCTGATTAATTGAAGATAACTCTTACAGACTTTCTTGGCCAGGCATTTTGAACTCAAACCTCAGATCTCAGCCTCCTGAGTAGCTAGGATTATAGGCATGAGCTACAGGCCCCTGGCTTTGGGTTCTGTTTGTTTGTGAGTACTAGGGTTTGAGCTCAGAGCTTTGAGGTTCTTTGGATGGCAATCTACTCTACCACTTAGTCATGCATCTAGCCTGGCTTTTTGCTGGTTATTTTGGAAATAAAGTAGAGGATTTCTTTTTTTTTTTTCATTTATTTACAGTAGTAAACAGGCTGGGAGCGGGAACTTTGAAAGTTATAGATCAATGAGTTACAAGACAAGACACTGTTTCAAAAGGAAAACAAAATAAAAATGGGCCAGTGACTCACTCCTGTAATACTACTTACTCAGAAAGCTGAAATCTAGAGGATTTCAGTTCAAGACCAGCCTGGACAGAAAAGTTCTTAAAAGGGGAGGGGGGGATGAAACTGACTGGAATATATTGTAAATATGTGTGGAAATGAAACAATGAAATTGTCCTCTGTATAATTACTGTAAACAAATAAAATGAAGAAGAAAAAAATCCTCTACTTTGTTTCCAAAATAACCAGCAGAAGCCAGGCTAGTTGCATGGCTCAAGTGGTAGAGTAGATTGCCAAAGAAACTTATAAGCTCTGAGCTCAAACACTAGTACTTGCAAACAGAACCCAAAGCCAGGTGCCAGTAGCTCACACTTGTAATCATAGCTAATTAGGAGGCTGAAATATGAGAATCCCACTTCGAAGCCAACCCACCCAGAAAAGCCCACGAGACTATTTTTTTTTGTTGTTGTTGGTAATGGGGCTAGAACTATGGGCCTGGGCATTGTCCCTCAGCTCTTCAGCTCAAGGTGAGCACCCTACCACTTGAGTCACAGTGCCACTTCCTATAAGACTCTTATCTCCAATAAACTACTCAGAAAAAGCTGGAAATGGAGCTATGGCTCAAGTGGAGGAGCACTAGCCTTAAGCAAAATGAAGCTTAGGGTCAGCACCCAAGCCCTGAGTCTGATCCCTAGGACCAGTACACACATACACACATACACTCACACACACACACACACACACACACACACACACACACACACACACACTCACTCTCCTACCCTAGCCACTTCTGTGCTAGGATTCATTTTTTACCACTGCAATTAATTGTGTTATGCTGTTTCCAATCAAAAATGGATTTCAGAGCTGGGTGCCAGTGCCTCACACTTGTAATCCTAGCTACTCCAGAATCTGAGATCTGAGGATCACAGTTCAAAGCCATTCCAGGCAGGAAAGTCCTTGAAACACTTATCTCCAATAAACTACTCAGAAAAAGCCAGAGTGGCGCTGTGGCTCAAGTGGTAGAGCACTAACCTTGAGCACAAAGAGACTCTGGGACAGCACCCAGGACCTGAGTTCAATCCCCAGGACTGGCAAAAAAAAAAAAAAAAGATTTCAGGTGTGGGGGTGTGGCTCATTGTTAGAACAAGTGCCTGTCTGTCATATGCAAGGCTGTAATACCTAGCACTACCAAGAATTAGTGGAGGTTCATAAAAGATTTTCTTCATGAAACCAAGGTTGGTTTTTTTTTTTTTTTCTTTTTAGAGACAGGGTTTTGCAATGTGGTCAAGGCTGGCCTTGAACTCAGTGTGCAGCCAGGTTAGCCTCAAACTCAAAATACTCCTAACCTCAGCTTCTCAAGCACTAGGATTAGTTATGTCCCACCACACCTGCCAGGGACTTTGTTTTATACATCAACTTATTCCCAGTACCTGGAACAAAGTAGACATGCTGTTGAGTGACTGAATGAGTGGACAAATGAATATTTTCCATCTATTCTTTGTGTTGTATTTGTTACCCTACTGGTGTGTTTATGTTCTTAGACAAGGTATGTTGTTCTCCGTGAAAGTCGCCAGCATCTTCAAATAGCTGCAGAGACACGCAAGTTGCTGCACATATGAGAAGCTGTAGCTGATGTGCTGTTAATATCAGGTGGCTGGCAGGGAGTCTGTGGATGCCAGCACTCCGAGGGGGTGTGTCCCAGGGCACTGTGCAGTATGTGCTGTTCCTCTTCCCAGCTGTGCATCTGTCCCCAGGTGTCTTCCTGTCTCTCAGCATGATAGGATGTCTTGGCTGCTTTGGGGAGGTGTTTGTCACAGACTATCCCCACTCCTCTTCCTTCTTGTCTACCCACCTGTACCTCTAGCTGTAGATGTCAGGGCCACTCTCCCTCAGCTCCCTTGCCCCCTCACACATACAGCCCTGCCCCATTCTTGGACCCCTCCCTTTCTCAGTGGGCCTGTTGCTGGGCTCGGGGTTGCCATAGTGACGGTTGCCAAGTCCCTGAGGCTGATAGCCAGCGATGGGGCTGTCGGCTCCATCCACGCGGGAGGCTGAGGGGGGCTTCCCATTGTGTGGAGAAGGGGATGTTGCCAAGACAACCAACCCCCACTAAGGGCCAGGGACCAGCCCTTCCAACCCCCCCCTTGAGCCTCCCCACTTGGGGCAGCTCCAGTGTGGGCTCAGAAGGCAGGAGTAAATTTCAGAGGGCCCCCTGTACCTGGCCACCCAGTTTTCACCTCCTCTCCTTCAGTGCCTGTACCTCTTGAGGCAGGGAGGAGGAGGCAGGGGTTCCAGTGGACAGAGGAAGGGAAAGGGGACCCCTTGACCTCCAGGCAGATGGGAGACAGCAGGAGGGAACCTAAAGTTAGGGGAGGGGCAGGAAGGGCAGAGGTTGTGACCCCTGCTGACTCGCTCCAGTGATGCTCTTGACGGCTGCTTTTGTGGTTGGAGAAAGGGGTTGAGTCTAGGGAGCTGGGCACCTGGGCTTTTGGTGGGGAGAAGAGGCTGGTTTATGGGTAAAAAAAGGCAGCCAGGAAATGGGCACTTGACGCCTGGGCCCTTCAGTCCTTCTTAAATTCTCCTGACCTATTCAGTTCCTTTTCATGTGTCCCCAGTAGCAAAACTCGAGTTAGAGGTGCCTTGAGGAAAGGTGGTAGGGAATAGAACGTTAAATATGACATATTTTCTTTGCTTTGTTTCCTAATTTTGACTTGTTTCCCCTCCCAGGTGTTTTGGTTTCTTATTCTCCCCACACAGCCTTATCTGAGTGTCCTGTCAATCCTTCTTGCCTGCATTCCTCTCCCTCCCATGCAGGTGGTTGCCTTCCTGAGCCTCCTCTCTTACTCCATGATGCCCTCCCCATGCATTGCCCCCTCCTCGCCATTCCAACCCACCCACTTTCCCATCCCCTTGCTTTCATCCCACCCTCAGTTTGGAAACCACCCTAACCACAGATTCATGCGCAGTCCTTCTCCAGCCTTCTCGTCAACATTTTTTAGTTTTTTTATTTCTTTTTTGTTTGTTTGTTTTTGTTGTTCAAATTTCCCTTTTACAGTAAAACTATCGAGGTGACGGCCGTACCCCGCCACCTCCCCCATGGCAATATCAACTTCCTGTTCCCCGGAAGGAGCTGGGAACTACAGCACCAGAGAGATGATTTGATCTCTGGTAGACAAAGCAACCGTCTTGGCTGGTGATTGAGGTGGCCAACTTGATGCCCAAGGGCAGCTTTGAGCTAATAAAATTGAGCTGGGAGGAAACTGAGGCAACAGCTGATTGTGCACTAGAGAGCAGGAAGAGGTATAGGCTGGTCACTATAAAAACAGAGGCCCTTGCTAAGTACCACTGTCAGCTAGACCAGTTGGCAGGCCACCATTTTGGTCACTAAAAAGGGAGCTGCTTGAATTTGAAGGGAGAATAGGATGAACAAGACAGCCATGTAGTCACTGGGGGAGAAGAACATGGGCTCTTGGGGGTAGTCCTGTTGATCAACGGAGATTATACTGGGGTACAGGAAGGGAAGAACAAGACAAACTGGGCCTGCCACCAAAGATGGCAGTCATCTTAGCTGTCCTAAAATCACACAGAGCACAAGGGAAGGGAGATTTCGGGGGTTGGGGGGGAAGTGCCACTGAATACTAGGAAAGTTCAGTCCGCCTCTGTCCTCTCACAGTTATTAAGTTCCAGCTTCCTCCTGAAACAGGGAGTTCTGTCCCCCTTCTCCACAGGGTAAGAACCATCCACCTCCCACCCCTCCCAAATCCCCAGACTAAGCCACTTGGAGTTCCAGCCAGACACCACTTCCTGTTTCAGAAGTGCTACTTCCTGTCCTGGATGAAGGCACTTCCAGTTCCTGCTGCACTGCTTCTGCCACTCTTCCCAGGCCATTTCTGTCCAGGCCTGGTCACTTCTTGTCTGGAGCAAGTCACTTTCTGTCCCAAGTGGCCCATTCAGCATCAGGCCAAGTCCATCATGTCCCCACTGGTTCATATCTTGCTATCAGCCACTGGATAAAACAGGACACTTCTTCCCATGGTAGCTGTCATGACCCAACCACCCCAAATGGCTGGAGTAAGTACGTAGAGGCCTGGGGCAGGGCAGAGAAGGAGGCCCTGCTGCCCATACCCTGAGCTGGGGTGGAGTGCCACAGTCTTCCCTATAAGGCCCCCATTTTGGGTGGACTAAGGGGAGCAGTTGATATGAAAGGTCAGAAGGAGAGGCCAACAGCTAAGGGAGGGGGGGAATGCTTTGATGCCACACCCAGGAGATAGGAGAGGCACAGGTTAAGAAGCCAAGAGGGCAAAAGGAGATGTAAGGAGGAGGATGCTAGGGAAGAGGAACAGAACAGACCTAGAAGCAGGAGAGAGAGAAAGAGAAAGAAAGAATAAGAGATAGAGACAAGAGAAAAACTGTGAGAGGCAGAAAAGACAGAGGTGTCAACCAAAAGACAGACTGTTCCCATCCCTACTCTGGGTGGTTGAGGGCAACAAGGGGGGCTGGGCCATGGTCAAAGAGGAGGCTGAGCCTGTGCCCCCTCCCCATAGGATAGAGACAGAGGGGTGCCCACGGCCAAACAGGAGAGCAAGAGAAGGTACAGTGGAAGTCTTAAGGGAGCCTATAAGTTTAGACGAGGGCCACAGCCAGGAGGAACAAAGGAATTGACGGGGCAGAGGGGCCGGAGGAGATGCCAGAGGTGTCCTCACACCACGAATTACACCAGAGGACACCCCCACAGAGGGCTGGGTTCAGGAGAACCAGGTGGGAAGAGCCCTCATACCTTATAGTAAATGTTCGGAGGGCTCTGGGGGGGCCCATCCTGCACGATGTACACAGGGTGCCCATAGTCACCACTCACCTTCTCATAGTGGGGGCAGAAGGGAGGATCTGCTGCCCCACTGCCCCGCAAAGCAATCCCTAGCTCCCCAGGCTCAGCCTCCCGAGCTCCCATCCCCCCACCGCCCCCCAAACCCAAAGACCCTCCCCTCCCAAAGGAGCCAGGACCAGGGTGGCGACTCTCCGAAGGCTTGGCCCGCCGTCTCCGCCAACACATGGCACCCCCAGCCCCTGCCACGCCCAGCAAGAGCAGCGCCAGCCCCCCAGCTGCCCCAGCCACTGCGGGCATGCTGGGAGGGGGCAGGGGGCCTTCAGCACCCCTGGAGGTTGCATTGCTGGTGGGGTCACCTGGCAGGGAAGGGGTGAAGGAGGAAAGAGGGGGAGGGGCTGAAGGAGCAACCTGGACATCTGGACACCCAGCCCTGTGGGGAGGGGGTCCCCACAGTCTTCCCCAGCAGTGCCCGGCCCCTTGGGAACCTCATGTCCCCTCCCAAGCCCAGCTCAGAATCCAGGTGTCCAGCCTGCAGCTCCCTGCCACGTCCTCCCCACTTCTCTGACAGCACTGATTGAAGCACTGACTTGGCTAATTAGTTCTAATTGAGTCTTTTCCTCATTTGGCTCCCATTCCCTTCCCACCCTCCCATCCTCTCTTCTCCTCTTTCCTGTGTCACCGCCCCCAAAACAGGAGAGGGAAAGAAGGGAGCGGGTGAAGGCAGGGCAGCTGGGGTCTGAGAGCGGAGAAGGTAGCGACTGGCCCGCTGGCTCCTACCTGGCATGCTCTCCTTCCCAGGGTCCAGGCTGTGGGCTGCCCCTCGGTCTCTCTCCATGGGCACTTCAGACACAGGTTTGCGGGGGAGAGTCCCTCCTCGGGGACCTGGACCCAAGAGAGAGGGGCTAAGACAACTGCTCCTGACCATGTTGGCATTGATCATGGCCCCTGATCATGATGGCACTGCCTGTGTCTTCCTCAGCCCCACTCACTTTGTCCCACTCGGAGAAGCACCTTCATGCCTCTGGTGAGGCACACACCTCCCTGCAAGCTTTCCAGGCCTTCCCGAGTCCCATCTGAAGTGGCTAGGAGAGAAGAGCAGAGGGAGAAGTGGGCATTGTGAGACCCAGCTCCTCTTCGGTCACCATACCCTAGCAAGAGCACCACTGAGAAGCAGGAGGTCTCCATGTGGACTCAATGGTCCCTATGATGCCTACCCTGCATCCCAGGGACAATGCCCCCTTTCCCTTCAGCCCGGCAATACCAATTATGTAGTAATCATGGTGCGAGCGGAACTCGTGGCCCCAGAGGTTAGGGCTGTACTCCTGGAATTTGATGGTGAAGCGGAGATCCAGGTCCGGCCGGTCACAAGTAAGGAGGAGGTTTGGGGCAGGGGGTGCCTCACAGCGTCGGCCTTGGGCACCCCCTACCAGGTACAGCTTGTAGAACTCATAACTAGGAGAGGAGTGGGGGCCAGGAGGCCGGGCCCGGGGACAAAGCAGGTCTAGCCTGTCTCCAATCTGAGGGTACAGCACATAACCACCCTCCGCCTGGAACCTATAGGGAAATGGGCAGAGGAAACAAGGAAGAAGAGATGTCAGGGGTGTGGTACCCAGAGCTTTCCCTCCCTCGCCCACAACAATTCTCAGCTCCCGCCCAATGCCTTTGTCTGGGTAGAAAGTCAGTTCTGTGAACACAGGCACCAAGGGCTCTGGGTGCTCACATCAGAAGCCACAGGAGGCCAGGCGCAGAGGTCTCTTGCCCCTTGGTGTGCCCAAATGCACTCTTCAGCCCGCCCTCACCACATGCACACTGCCATCTCCCGCTCCATCAACGGGCGCCGTTGTCATGGCAACAGGATGCCAGTTACCAAGGAGCTGGCCTCTCTGGAACCACATAGCCCACCCCTCCCAGGTGATTTCACTACTCCATGGCAGTCAACCATAGGGGCACAGACTCCCCTCCTCCTACCAAATCTCAGGGATTGGAGGCAAAGGGGACAAGAGGGATGGGAGAAAAGGTGTAGAGGGTGTTCACTGTCCCAAGTTAGCCAGGAGATGAGACAGGAGACAAATTCCTGGCTTGGCAATGACCATCAATGAAGCTCATGGGGAACCAAGGGGGACCAGCTTTCCCAGGTCATTTACCTGCCAGTCCCCCCACCTTGGGGCTCAGACTTCTTGTGGAAAGTGTTCTATTGCTTTGGAGTTTAAAGTAGTTGACTTCTTCTAACCACAACTGACAAAACCAGCATTTCCTTGGCCAGTGGGCCTGAATACTCATGGAGCCAACACAGCCTCAACTTGCTAACCACTGAAATTCTCCCAGTGCATTCATAACTGAGACAGGATCCCAGGGGACTGCTGCCAGGAATCTTCCCAGACTTCCTAAGACCCCCCCCTTCCCTCCCTTTTATCTTATAAAAATGCCCCAGGATACCAACCCTATCAGAATAAGCCTATTTTATATGTGGATGGCATGTACATCAGGCCACACCTGATCTAACTCCAGCAAGGAGTTGACAGGTGGGAGAGCGTGAATACGGAAAAGACACCAAGATTATCCCCCACTGAGATATGGGAGGGAGAAAGGGATGCGGGACAGGGATGTAAGAGAGGCTAAGAAGCAAAATGAACAATAAGCCTGGCTCTCCTGTCCTGAGTGTATAATATGCCCCAACACCTTACCTCTAATCTTCATTAACACCTGTAAGAACTAAGGATACAAATTCAGAAAGGTTAAGTGAGAAACCCTAGGCCACTCAGCTGAAAGCAACAGAACCTAGAAGTAAGACCAAGGATGGGCTAGTCTCAGAAGCCCACTCCGTTTCCATGGCCTCCACCAGCTTCCTCAGGAAGTGGGAAGAAGGGAGAAAGTTTTCAAAATGCAAGAACTCACTTTTTGCTAATGGGAATAGGAACTGCATGGAGGCCAGGGACCCAGATGACCTCTCAAAGGTCCTGTCCTACCCTGTGAGGCTTGAAGTTTCATTTGACCCCTGGCCTCTTTTCAGAGCAAAGCAAGCATGCCACAGGGCAGAGGCCCTGATGGAAGAGTATGCAGTAAAGAGGTGGGGGGGGGGGGAAGAGGGGGGAGTCACAGAGTCTTCAGGACTCCCGAGGCAAGAGGGAAGGAGGGAGGTTTGCAGGGACTCAAGACTTCTTCCAGAAAGAAGTCTCCAAGCCAGGAAGGTAGGAATATGTTCTGGCTGCAAACTTGTTCACCAAGGATTCACCCTCCCTCTCTGGTTGGAAACAAATAGTGAAGTCAAGGGAAGTTGTTCCCAGTCCCCCACCCCCACCCCCAACAGAACCCCTTCCCTCCCATCTCCAACAGCAAGTCCCTCTTGGGAGAGAGGCACCTAGCCTTTCCCCTCCTGGCGTCAGCAGCACCTACTCAGCGGCTCTCTCCTGAGAGCTGACATTAACCAGGCTCCCCTGAAGCCGATGACACAGGTCTCCCACAGATCCAAATAACCACTCAGCTGCCCTCCTACTGCCTGCGAACTTTCCCTATCTGCCCCTTTGGGGTCTCCAAACTCCTGACACATGGCCATCACCACCCACCTCATGCTCTATGTGGGACCCAGGAATCTGGCTCTCAAGATCACACTGCTCTATAGGTAACCCGGCACCCCCACGTCAAGGGCTCCAGCCCCCTCCCTGCAGGCCTCCTTCCCTGCCCAGAGAACCCAGGCCCCACATCCCAAAGCCCTCCACACCCCCTACCCCAGTCGAGTCTGGGGTCTCCCCAACCCCAGGCCGCTCACCTCTTATTCGCCGAGTTCCAGTAGACAGGCTCCAGGCTGAGACCCGACACCAACCCCAAAAACCCCAGCAGCAGCAGGGCCCCGACTTGCACGCCCCCCGGCCCAGAATGGGGGGCCCCCATGACCCCGCCAAGGCCTGGGGGGCGGGGCACCAACTCCCCCAAAGTCGCTCACCCCCCAGGGGTGACTCTCCTTTGGCTGCTTGGCTGTGGAGCCGGATCACCCCAGTGGGTGACTGGTGCCCCCCAACTCCCACGCGGACCCGCTTCCCGCTCTTCCCTGCGCCCGGGGTTCCAGTGCGCTCAGAGCCCTTCCAGGGGGCCGTCTGCAGGCGCCCTGCGCGCCCCTGGCCCGCGCGCCAGCACCCCGGGATTTGTGTGCCAGCCTAAGTAGGGGACTGGGGGGGCCGGGGGCCGGACGGGGGCGACATGGGGCGCCGGGATCGGGCGCGAGGAAGGGGGACGCCGAGCCCGAGCCCCAGCCTCGCCGGGATTGAGGGCAGCGGGCTAAGGGAGGAAACCAGTCCCGAGCCCAGGAGGGGGGAGTTAAAGGAGAGGCGGGGAGGGGGAGTGGATGGCAGAGGGAAAAACCGGAGCTGGAGCTGCGCCGGAGCGGGCGGCAGCATCCCGGGCCCACGCCCCCCACATCTCCCTCACCTCGCGCACCTCCCGCCCGCGCGCCGCCCCGCCTCGCCGCCTGGCGCGGTCTCTCGCGCCCCCTTTGTCTCTCCGACCGTGTCTCTGGCTGAGCCTGTGCCTGTCCAACCTCTCCGACCGCCGGCCCGAGCGCCTGGAATCTTCCTCTCCCGAATCCAGACAGGCTCTCGCCCTTTCCACCCCGGGGAACCCACCACCACCCCCCTTTCGCTCCTGCAGCCTCCGCCTCCTCCGCCCCCAAACACCGCCGGCGCCCCCGGGAAGGCCAGGCACCCTGACGCAGCCCGCCACGACTACCTGTGCCCAGCGGGAGGGGCAGAGCGACCGAGCCCATTGTAGTGATGGGGAAACCGAGGTTCGGGGAGGACCCGGAGATCTGCCCAAGGTCACTCAGGGAGTCTGGCATAAAGCCACAAGCCATCCCCAGGTTGCTGAAGCTCAATTCCTGGGGTCTCTGGTCCACCGTTCCTGGACGCTTTATTTGATAAGCGGGCGTCACCTGAAAGGCAGACCAAGGAGTGAACTTGGGCCTTTCTTAAGTGCTTGTTGTGAGAACAGGGTACCTACAACCCTAAAGCCGCACTCTGCCGGAAGGGCTGTTTCCAATTATCCTAGGGGAAGGGAGGAGTGGCCTTTTTGGGGTCTAAGAACACAGGCTTTCAGCACCTCCCAGCAGGGGCGACATTCCTCTCCTTCCAGCTCAAACCTCCACAGGCTTTTCCCTTCCCTTTGATTGTGAGGTCCCCATCACATCTCCTGCTGACAGCAGCTCTTCAAAGTCCCCCTTCATGGTTCTTGGCAAGGTGTGTGGGGCGAGGGAAAAGCAGACAAATGGAGAAGGAAGACCAGCACCAGCTGTGGAATGAATGAGTAAGCCTCTTGCCCTGGTCCTGCATCTAACAGGAGACAGACGGCTCTAACAGGAGACAGATCACTCTATTTTTTGGCACCTTTACTCTTTCCTGTGTGTCCTTCACTGTGGCTACTGGGTTGCCTGTCTGGGGGGGGGAGGGGGGGGAAGGGAAGGAGAGAAGGGGTTCCAGGGGAGGCAAGGGGAGAGTATCCCACACCCCTTCCCCAGAGCTAAATAATGGTCCCTCTGCTGCTGGATGATGGTAAATAATGTGGAGTAAGCGTTGTCTTGTCTGTCACTGACTGCACAGTCTCACACTGTCACACCCAACAGTCTGACACAGAGCTCATACCACCCTTGCTCAGCCCTGCTCACCCTGACCCCTGCTGCCCACCTTGGAAGTGAGATTTCAAACAGGTTCCCCCCCCTTCAGTTTACCTAGTTGCCTAGCAACCAGCTAGTCAATGGCATGGGGCCCCACCCCCACTCACTTGACTTCACACCAATCTCGGCCACCCCATTGGTTCCTGCCTGGTCCCATCCCTCAACCCCTGGTTTCAAGAACAATACGCCAGTCCCCACCACAGCTGGACAAGGGACCCCCACTAGCCTCCTACCCTGCCCCCAACCATCATTTGCCTCCCTAAACAGACAAAAAGACTCAAGTATCACATAAAACCTTTTTATATAAGCTCATCCCCACTGCCTTCTGTCCCTCCTGGTTCCTTCTGGCCCTGGCCATCATCAGGGCAGCTGGGATCTGGCCCTCTCCCACACCACCAGAGCTGCAGCTGACATTCAAGGTGACTGTGGCGCAGGGAGAGCAGGGGAAGGTCCGGATCCTGCTCCCCTTCATCCTCACTGGCGGTAGGCTCGGGAAACACACGTTGACCGGAAGCAGTGGCCAGCAGCGGCAGGCTAGGGTGCAGGCTGGAGGGGGAGAGACAGGCCAAGTCTATCAGCCAGGATGCTTGCTTCCCAGAATGCGCATCTTCCAGCCCCCACCCCAAGCTCTAGAAGTTAACTGAGGACCTCACTCCGTTGGTACAGTCTTGCTGGGGCACAAAACTCAGCACGGGCTCTGGCTTCCCATTATCACAGGACCCACTGATGTCCCAAACGGAGACGACCCCATTGGTACCGCCGCTCACTAGGAACTGCCCGCTCCTGGGAAAGAGATAACTTGCAGATTGACAGGCATCACCTGTAGGGCAGAAATCCCTCATGTCCAGGGGCTGGGACTCTGCAGTGGGCTCTGACATCCTTGGGGGCAGCGGGGTCTTAGGCCAGAAGGGGTAACAGCCACTCACGGGTCCAGATCGAAGTAGATCCGCTGATTGGTGGTTACCTCCCTATTCAAAGACCACAAAGGGTGGCCAGGCTGCCGGAGATCCCAGCAAAGCAGCTCAGCATCCTGAAGACACAAAAACAAGGACCTGGAGCGGCTGTGTCTCCCTCCCCGTCTTCCCCCGCCCAATACCTCAATATCCCTACGACCCCCAAGCCTGGCATTCCCCAACATATTGCAGACTACATTCCCACTCCTGCCCTACAGTCCACCCATCTGAGTTGGGCTCTCAGCATGTGATCCTCACCTTTCGGGCTCCCGAGAAGAAGCGGTTGCCATCGGGGTGAAAGCAGAGGTGAGTGATGCCCCCTTGGTGCCCTCCGAACAAGGCTAGAGGGGTGCCATCCTCCCGGGCATACAGGCCCAGAGAGCAACTGTAGGAGCCACAGGCATAAAGGGGCTGGGCTGGGCTGAAGGCTATGCAGGAGATGATGCCACTCTGGCCTTGCTTTTTTGCTAAGGAAGGAACAAGGAGCAGATGGTGGCCTCTGTTATCTAACTAAAGACCTCTGTCCCCTGCCTCAGCACCAACATTCTGGGACTCAACATCCCACCCTGTTTCCACATACATGATGAGATCTTTCATGTTCCTGGACCCTTCAAGGCCCCCAAAGGACCCAAATACCCAAGGTTTCCTTTTTCGCTGTATGCTGGTAGCCCGTAGTTGTAATCCTAGCTACTCAGGAGGCTGAGATCTGAGGATCGTGATTTGAAGCCAACCCAGGCAGGAAAGTCTGTGAGATTTTTTTTTTTTTTTGCCAGTCCTGGGGCTTGAGCTCAGGGCCTGGGCACTGTCCCTGAGCCTCTCTGTGCTCAAGGCTAGCACTCTACCACTTGAGCCACAGCTCCACTTCTGGCTTTTTCTGTTGATATGGTACTGAGGAATCCAGCCCAGGGCTTCATGCATGCTAGGCGAGCACTCTACCACTAAGCCACATTACCAGCCCCAGTCTGTTAGACTTTGATCTCCAATTAACCCTCAGAAAACTGGAAGTGGCTCTGTAGCTCAAAGTGGTAGAACGTTAGCCTTGAGTGAAAGAGCTCAGGGATAGCACCCAGGCCCTGAGTTCAAGCTCCACAACCAACAACAACAACAACAAAAAAGGGTGCTTGCCTAATACAAGATCCTGGTGGGCCAGGCACCGGTGGCTCACACCTGTAATCCTAGCTACTCAGAAGACTGAGATCTGAGGATCACAGTTCAAAGCCAGACTGGGCAGGAAAGTCCATGAAATGCTTATCTCCAATGAACCACCAGAAAACTGGAATTGGTGCTATGGCTCAAGCAGTAGAGTGCTTGCCTTGAGCTCAAGAGCACAGGGACAGCTGACCCTGGGAAAATGTTGTTCCTGCTTTTTTCCCCTCTACAGCCAGGCATAACCTCCCAGGTCTACTGAGGATGAAGCAGAACCTCAGGGTGTCTCCTGGCTCTCAGGAGGTCCCTTGTGGCTGATATTCCAGTTCCTCCTCCCTTGGAGGCACAGATGCTTACCAAACGTGGCCCGCACCTCACAGTCTCGACCAGGCCTGGACGTGGAGAAAATCCGCACGGTTCTGTTGAAGCCACAGAAGAGGTGGGAGCCATCCGGGGAGAAGCAGAGTGAATGGGCTGCTGTCAGCTCATCCTAAGGGCAGGAAAGGGCTGGAAATGGGTCTTGCAAAGCCTCCGCTCTCCTCAAAGGAGGAGGGCAGGTCTAGGAACAGTGCCAGGCTAGATGGGGAGGTGGGTACCAGGTGGTTGTAGGCGCGAAAGGAAGCGCGGAGCTCTCCAGTGAATGCATCCCAGATATGGATTGGGTTCTCCCGACTGCTGCTGGCCACACTGAGAGAAACATGGACACTGAGGTCCTGGTGCTGTCAAAGGAAGGGGAGGAAGCCAACTGACCAGCCCTCTCAGCTCCCATCAGAAGGGCACAATGACCCCCTTTCTCCTCCCAATATCCCTGGCAGCCCAAGTCTCAAAAGAAGTCCTATCAAAATTGGGGAAAGAGGCCGGGCGCCAGTGGCCTGTAATCCTAACTACTCAGGAGGCTGAGATCTGAGGATCATGGTTCAAAGCCAGCCCAAACAGGAAAGTTCTTTTTCTTTTCTTTTTTTTTTTTTTGGTCAGTCATGGGGCTTGAACTCTAGGCCTGGGCGCTGTCCCTCAGCTCTTCAGCTCAAGGCTAGCACTCTACCACTTGAGCAACAGCACCACTTCTGGCTTTTTCTGTTTGTGTGGTGCTGAGGAATCGAACCCAGGGCCTCATGCACGTGAGGCAAGCACTCTACCACTGAGCCACCTTCCCAGCCCCTGACAGGAAAGTTCTTATCTCCAATTAACCACCAGAATACCAGAAGTGGCACTATGGCTTAAAGTGGTAGATGCTAGCCTTAAGCAAAAGAGCTCAGAGTCAGTGTCAGGACCCAAGTTCAAGCCATGACCCACAAAAAAGGCGGGGGGGGGGGAAGACTGGGGAAAGAGAGGGTGACAGCAAAGGACATTACTTACTAGGAGGTGTCTGGCTGGGCTGAGGACATCAGAGAATACCAGCAGTAATCATAGATGGTATCTCCCTCCATCATTCGAAGGACAGGGGCCTAGACAAAAGTATGAGAACGTCAGTGTCACTAGCAGAGGAAAAACATCAGAGGCTCATGACCTAGATTTTTGGCAGAGGGGGGAAATTG